ACGAGCTCAGTGGTTCTGCTTCTCCTCGTCGTCGTCGTCGTCGTTTCCGCCGGCGCAGCTTACAATGTGCCGCATCAGCAAATGTGCAAAAATCGAAGAGAGAGAAATAGAAATAGGATTCGTGGGCAAAAGAGCGAGAAACGAGGAAAACGATTTCCCGAAAGACGAGGAAGTGAGTTAAATATATAAAAGAGGGAAAGGAGAGTAAAGGAGTATGGAGTAAAGGAAAAAGAGAGGGAGGGAAAGGAAGAAAAAGTTGCGGTGAGGTGTGAAAGTGAAAGAAAAGAAGGAAAGAGTGGTAGATGGAGAGAGAGAGAGAGAGAGAGAGAGAGGAGAAAGATTATATATATATCTCGTCTCTCACGTCCGTCGATTCGTACAGTCGTTTCCAGAGTATGAATGTGGTCTCGCGGATATATCGGTACCATGGAAGCCATTTTCAATTCAATCTGTTAAAAGCACGTCAAAAAGTCATACGGTATTTCACCGGCGTGCGGTAGATCGCGGGTGAGACCGTAGGTTCATCCGGCGACGGTGACGCGTTGAATGCCATCCGTACCCTATCCGTACTGTCGAAATATATATGCTTCTGCATATGTCGTCCTCGATCTGACACCGTTCCCTCTTCTATCTATATCTTACTATTTTTTTTAATACAAACGTGTCTACATGAGTATTTAGAATTTATTTTCTCGTTCAATATATTTACATGTTTGCATTTTGTCTTTTCTAAAAATATGTAAAATTAAAAATAAAAATATCTTTCTAAAAATATCTATTACCTACATTGTTTTAAATGTGATCGTCTTTTATCGAATTGGAATTTATTTTTGTTACATGAATAGCTTAGGATTAAAAATGGCACGACTGATTTTGAAATATGATTATTTAGAAAATTACAATTATAATTATTAAATAATTATTAATGTAATTATTCGTTACATTAGATATATAATATAAATCATTTGTATAACAATTTCATATATATTTACTTATTATTATTATTTTGATATTATTAATTTATTTTGTAAAAATTGGGATCGGGAAAATATAATTGTTCTCAATTCTGGGTCAATTGTAATTCAGAAAATAGAATTTAAGGCATTGATATTTTAGCCCGTCAATTAACAGAATTATGATTCAATTTAATGATAAATACTTCATTTTGTTTAACTTTTTCCTCCACACACAATCATGGCTTTTCATGGATTTTCGTTTTCGAGTTATTCGTAAAAAAAATTTCTAATGTTATATCATTGAATTAAAAAAATTTGAAATAATAATCCTTTAAGAAGTTAATCGACAGATTCATTAAAATGGAAATTTTCCCTGGTTGTTTCCTCTTATTCTTTATTAGAAAAAATGGAAACAGTGAGAAAGAATAGCAATAGAACATTTTCAAAGATTCTCCCACGATTCTTACTCCCTGATCTTAGAATGTTTCCAGACGTATCCGATTTAACGATAGTAGCAGGTAAAGAATCAGTAAAGAATTATGAGTTTTATACCAGTTTTCCCCTCCAGAAAGTTGTTTATATTAGGGGAAACAGGAGATTAAGATCAAGAATCGAGTTACAATGTTTGCCAACATAGCACAGATCGAATCACTTTCGATCGGATAAGAGAGATTAGATCATAGGTCGCTATATCAAAGAAAAGAGAAGTGCAGGTACAAAACCAGGTTGATCATGATCTCTAATATTTGCGTAGGTGAATGAACTTCTACCTGTCGATATATACATGATGTAAACGCGGACAGCAAGGAAAGCATGAGAAGTGAAATGAAATGAAAAGGATATTTTTGTTTCGAACATTAAGGTAAAAAAACCATTCCACTTTTAATTCATAAAATTGCAAAGATGAATTATCCAGTTATAAATATACGTGACATTATTAATCTTTTACATTTACGTATCTTTTTTTTTCGTTTTCTAAAAAAGTATATTTTGTCATAAATTAAAAGAGATATTGATATTTATGCACAAAAAAAAAAAATAATATTTCATCAATTGAAAGGATCATTTTTTAAGATGATTTTTCATTAATTTTTTCAAATGTACAACATGTCGATTCTCTGGTCTATCTAGATAATAATTAATGTGTGATATATTTTTGTTGAGATTTTAAATAATTTAAACGAAAAGATTCTCCCATTACTATAATTCACGTCACTAATAATAAAAAGGTTTTAAAAAACTATTGGAAATTTTTACTTTTAATATCGAGAAAATTCAATCGCGTATATATTCGATGTGATTGGATGCAAATGCATACAATATGAATATTTTATCGATACAAAAGAAAAAGATGATCATATTAAGTATTAATTAAATGTTAGTTCTAATAGCTATCCATCTATCTATCTATCCGATTAAAAATTTATAAAGTGCGATGAATTTCGCATTTAAATATTATTATTTAAATACGATTATATTTGAACAATTCGTAACTTAATTTATTTTGTGTTCCTTGATTAATTTATGCTTACGATGTTTTTACACGGCGTAATTTTGTAATAATCCCATAAAATCCTAAATTCAACTTATAATTGTACGGATCGTGTAAACGGGAACGCGAGGAGGGGCTGATACTTTAAAAGCAGGTGTGCATTACCATAGCTATTGGTTTATTGATTTATCCATCGGCGCGTACGTACGCTTTGAGTGGCTGATATGCCAGAGTAAAAAATGGTCCGTGTCGGTGTACATATATCAACGGTATCGACGAATACCGCTTCGCGTGCGGGCTTTTAATGTTGCTCAAACCGTCATTGCGTCCTCACTAATGACGCACGAGTTGAATTAATCGGTTCGTAACCGCCCTGAAACGTGCCATTCACTGTAGTGTGCACGGTCAAACGCATTACTTTCGTTTTATACCAATTTTCTATTCCACGACCGATGTGATGACGTACACTTGAAAATAAACGTATTTTTCTATAAATAAGCTATTTATCGATATGCCGTCGTTTTTCTTGTAACACGTTGTACTGTGTGTCAATGCGTTACATGCAAATTAGGAAAAAAAAAAAAGAAAAATAAATAAAAAAAATAAAAAAAAAAAGGAAAACAAAGGAAAATGATGTATACAATAAGATAAAAGAAGATACTTATCCGTAAATAATTATTTATTTGTAAAATGTAAAAGTTTTTAAATAAATTCTTTAATAAATTTTTAATTTTAATTTTAATCTTTTTTTTTTTTTGTATACTTTTCCAAATGGATATTATATATTGATTAATTAAAAAAAATGCCTATAGTATAAATTCTGTGACAATTACAGTAATTGAATTTTGATTAAATATCTATAATATAATAATAAGTTTCTTTCACTTACTAGTTTCTATAATTTGCAATAAGTATAGATCACAATCTTAAAAAAAAATTTAATTCTTTAATATTCTTTGAAAGATGAATAAAAGAGAATTAGAAAAAGTGGAACAAAATATAGGATGAAAAAAATATAAGAAAGAATCTTAAATTACTATAGATAATTTAATTTCTAATGGTATATATATCTACTTACTTATTTATATTTTCAAATTTTCAAATACTCGGATTACGCGTAACGTGACACAGCCAGTTACATACAGTACGTATGTATAATCATTATTTAAATGTACATACCGGTTTCTTCGAAAATATATAGCGGTGTACCGATATAGTTACTTTTGTTCGCATGACTAAGTCAAAAGAGTAATAGTGCCATTGTGCACGATATGTGGCCTAAGCGTGTATTATTGTACGTCTGTAGATGGATTGCAATAGGTTCGGTAAGCACAGGAGATATACAGGATCCAAATCAGAGAATGCTTAATACATAGAATGCTTTTATTCCATTCTCATTGCGGGGTAAATAACATCTGTACATTAGATCACTATAAAATCGGTCGCCATTGGTGAACGACAATAGGGCTTCCCCTATTGAAACCTCATTGTGGAATATGATTCAAGAAAGGCTCGTCGCTATGACGTTGTGGCCTGTGTGCTTGTGTGGGGGATTCGATGGATCTAAAAAAGGAAAAATGAATTGGAAGAGAAAAATAAAAAAAGGAAGAGAAGAAGAAGAAGAAGAGAGACAGATGAAGCGCGAGCAACCGTGACCGAACAAATCAAGGTAAAAAAGGAAGAAATAAAAAATTAAAAAGAAAAGAAGAAGAAGGGGGAGGGGGGGAGGGGGAAGAAAAAAGAAGAAAAATAGAAAAAGGAAGAAGCAAAGGTTGTGTTCTTTCTTAGAGAGGGAACGAAGAAGGCGCGTACGGTTAAAAACAGTTCGGACGAAACAAAAGGCGGAGCATAGAGAGAAACGTCTGAGCATCGCTCGTATTGTATTTTACGTTGGAACGGGTTTTAATAAAAGAGTAATGTGTTTGTCCGTTTTGCCTCCTCCAGTACGATAGAAAATACACACGTCTGATACGTCGTGCGTTTGTATACGCATAGTTTATTGAGGGTGAGTAGGTAGGTGGGTACGTGGTTAGGTATGTCCCCCTTACACCCCTAGCCAGATACTCTTAACATCTTGGTGGAACAGCATGTTCAGCCAATCAGATAGGTGCGCGGGCGTGGCCGTGCCTAAGCGCGGCTTTGCGTTTGGCCGAAGCCCCGGGGTGGAACACTGTGGCACAGTGTTTTATTTCGCGCAACTGTGGAGGGGCTGTTAGTTTCTGCCCTATCCCTCCCCAATAAATTCCTTCTCGCTTTCCATTCTCATTCCTTCTTTCTTCTTTTGTCACGTTATCTCGCTCCGACATGTTCCACTTCGCGCAGTATCGGTCTCTTTCGTGCACATTCGTTTCTTTTCGGTATCAGTGTTCCCTCTCGGTATCCCACTCCCTGTTCACTTTTCCACCTTCTTCCACATTTTTCCTCCACACTTTCAGTTTCTATCTCTATCTATCTTTCCCTCGTTCCCTCGCTCTTTTCTTCTCTATGCCCTCGCTTCCTGGTCTCCTTGCGACATTCTGAACACCTCCCTCCCCCCCCCCTCCCTTGATTTCTATCTTCCCCTCCTCCGCGCCTACGTGCCCCCACCTCCTTATTCGTCCGCCTTCGGCTCCCTCTTTACTGCCGACACCACTATCGTCGTCGCTTCTCTGTCTCTCCACGCTACCTGAATCGACTCTCCCGGGATGCTGCAATTGTTGACAATGCCGGAGAGTGAGAGAGAGTGCTGTGAGAGGAGTCGGGGCGATTCCGCATTTCGTACCCCGACACCCGTACGAGCGGTGGTGCCGCCGCTCTTCTCTGCCGGTGAACTTTTCGGAAGTGTGGGCGCGTGCGCATGTCTACCAGTCGAGCTTTCTCTCTTCACCGTACTCGTCGCCACTTCTCTCCGTCTTTCTTCTTTCTTTTCCTCATATCTATCTCTCTCTCTATCGTTCTCTCGTTCGTTCACTGTACGGTGCCGGTTCGAAGGTTTCTACCGAACAGCGTTAAATGTGATTTCTTCGGTTGAAGTAAGAAGAGCCTGTGTGACTACATTCTACATTCCCGTTAAACTCTGTAGCTTTCCATTCCATCAATTGATAATTTAATGTGATGCAGTTAGAAATTTGAGATATTTACATGACAGTGCATGTAACTTGGAAAACATCAGAACTTATTATTCATATAAACATTATAACATAAATTGTGAATTAAATATTACGGTTATGAAAAGTATTCGGTAGTGAACAATTTTATCGTAACGGTGTTAAAATGAGATCGATACGTGTTAGTGCGTACCGGGCTTTGTGCTCAGCTAAAAATGACTATTTTCTGTGATCGAGCTATTTTTTTTTTTTTTTTACTTGTGAGTTTGATAACAATGCCCACAGATCACAGTGACATTGTTGATTTTATCAATCATTCATAAAGTGATCGGTTCTTTTTCTACATCTTTTATATTTCTTATTCAAGACGTTGATTCGATTATTATTATTACTCATCTATCGAAACAATGTCGTTGCCGCGGGGTGTCGGTCTTGGTGTCGACGTGGGTCAATTAATGCAACATCAGCAACAACAACAGCAACATCACGTGCTACCAGCCGCGTTTTTTCTTCGTGCTAGTGCTGAGAGATATCAAAGGACACCGAAATGTGCAAGATGCCGTAATCACGGTGTTGTTTCCGCGTTAAAAGGTCACAAACGATACTGTCGTTGGCGGGATTGCGTATGTGCGAAATGTACATTAATTGCGGAGAGACAACGGGTCATGGCTGCTCAGGTAAACTGTCATTACGAGTAATTTATATTAAACACAAATATTATTATTTCGACGGTGCTTATTAAAAGAATTTTTCTAATAATTGACAGAATTATTATTTATTATAATAGGATTAATAATTTGTATCTATGATTAAATTTAAGGAAATTATATAGAAAGCATATTTCATAAAATATTTCATAAAAAGATATTGTTGATAAGGATTTACCAATTTTTTTTAAATACCAAATTAGAAAATGTTCAAATTAGATCTTTGATATTATATTAATATGTGCTCCATATAAAATGAAACACATAGTTGTGATAAAAGTATTTCATCATAGTATGCTGAGTTTTATTTCTAATGGTATAATAGATATAATAGATAAATTTCTAAGTTTTTAATGTTTCTTAAAACATGTGACACTTCACATTTGTAATTTTTAATGCTGTTTACATATAACGTAACATAAATAAAAGTGAAACGTGTATGTAAATTGAAGATGCATTACTATAATAATTTTTTAAAAATTCAGAATCTTTTATATAATTGCTTTAAATTTTGAGAATAATAGATACTATTTTTAATTTGATTTGTCAATGCACTTTAAATGTTTCATTGTTTTATTATTTTCAATTATAAAGTTTTAAATGTAATTTGAACTTCATCATGATATATATTTATATTTTCAATAGAGTTTAATTGTTGATCCTTGTAGTTTCAAAAGTTAGGCTAGATTGATACTCATATTGTGATTGTATAAAAATATTTAATATCATATAGAAAATGAAAATCATGACATTAATTGAGAAATAAACAGATAAAAAAAATAGAAAATGTTCTAGATATATATTATAATACACGATTGAAATTAGAATGGTTAATCTTTTTCTAATTTTAATATCAATATTTATTTGTTATTAAATTATTAAAAATAATTAAAAATAATAACACTTACGATATTTTATATATTTTTTTCTTTTTTTATAATCTTTTATAATCTTGTTAATCAAATCTTGTTAATAAAATCAAAGATGGTTCATAAGAAAATATAAAAATAAATGAAAATTAATAATAAAATCCAAGTCAAATATATTTTTATGTATTATAATTATATTATAATTAAATATTACATATACCCAAAGAAATCTTTCTTAAACTTCAATTAGTATTGGATCACACTAATCTGAACTCCATATAATTTTACTAGAAAAATAGTATAATAATTAATTTTGGAATTATTTAAAATAAAAATCATGCGTGTAATTTATAATTTATTGTAAAATTCGTTCAATTGTGCAGAGAGTTTAATGCGCGTTGAAAGTTAAATTAATAAATAAATATTTAATGATAGATATATCAACTTAAAAGATAAATCCAGTACACTAAAAAATGTAATAAATATAATAAATATTTGATAAATTTTCTTTCTTCTTAATTTTTTTAATTGCAAAACTTTACGACTTTTGTCCCGTAATTTTGATAAAGCGAGGTTACATATTAATATAATTTTAATAAACAGAAAGATAAATGATTTATCCTATTTATCATGGATGTCTATTTATTTTATCCTCTACATATCCACATATATACATATATAGTTTTTTTGTATACACTTTGCACAATTATATTTGGTGAATTGACGCGAAGAAAACGTTCTACAGGTCGCGTTAAGAAGGCAACAGGCCCAGGAGGAGAGCGAAGCCCGCGAATTGGGCCTGCAACTGCAGTACAATGCTGGCAGCTGCACTACTGCTCCCGTGTTGCCTGGCGCAGCGAGTGCTACTACGCCAGCTGGCAGTCCGCCCCCGCACCCGGCCCATGTAGCAAGTCCGGCCGGTTTAGCAATTCCAGCGGCTGCAGCAGCCGCGGCCGCGGCTGCCGCCGCGCACATCCAAACGCAACTTCAGCATCAGCAACCTGATTGCAGTCTTTTGCAACGGAAGAGACTTCCTCAGGATGAATATCGGCAGCCTAAGATCGAGAAACAAGAATCAATCGTCGGTGGAATTGGCGGTAAGTAAAGTTTCACTTTGAAATTGTTTTGCACTGTCTTAATCTTAAAAGATTATAGAGTTTTTTTCTACAATTAGTTTGTTTCGTTTGTTTAAGTTAGTTTTACAATAAAATATGTTTAGATATCAATTTTCAATCAAAGACGTATCAATTTTGATAATTCATGAAAGTTTCTTTTTTTTTTTAAATAAATTTAATTCCTTTCCTCTTTGGATAATTTATAATCCTATTGAAGTATAATTTGCAGTATTATTTAGAGTTTATAAAGATTTAATTTTAATAGTTAAAGTTTTTATTTTATGATATATGTTAATACGTTGACAATTTCTTTTTCTCGTATACTTTATTCCGTTAAATCTGCTATTTCATCAATAATGAATTATCATCCGTTGCACTTTTTACATAATCTAATAATATATATGTATAATATCGGTGGATCATTGAAACCAAACAGGTGGGTTATCATCGAAATCGCGCGAGTAGAATGACACGCGCTCACAATTCTTATGGGAAGGTGAACAACACACGCGTGTGCACTTTACCGAGGGTGAGAATGAACTAGCAAGGAGGAAAGAAAGAAGTCTCGAGAAAGGAGCGAAGGGTTGTGTGAGGAGAGAGAATTAAAAAAAGAAAAGAAAAGAAAAAAGAAAAGAAAAGAAAAAAGAAAAGGAGAAAGAGTGAGAGTAGAAAAAGGAAGAAAAAGCTGCCATTAACGAGTATATACGAGACTTAAGCTTTGAGTGGTATAATAAGGGGCCAGGAGTTTGGCCATTATTTACTTAACATTATGGTCTCTGGCCACTTGCCCTATTTAGTCGCGTATGTTCACGCACGTTCCTAATGGGCACTCGTTCGCAACTCGAGCGTGCTAAACGCATGCGCTCTATCTTCTTCTCTCTTACGCACATTCCGTTCTTGGTCGCGTGTCACATTTCTGCTGCTCGTATAGCAGTTTTGCGGAATCGTTAGAATAGATAGATGATTGATTGCAACGAAAGATACAAGATGTTTGTAAAATTGGTTTCTTCATTTCTATAAAATCCAGTTTTGAGAAAGTTTGCAGACGCTTTTCAAGATTTTATCACTAAATTTGTTGTTTAATTTCATTATTAAATTTAATTTTATTTCGTATTTTACATTTAACGTTGATTGATGATCTTCATCATACAAATACGGGATATAAATTTTAAAATTACATAATTTAAACTAAACTGTTTGTGCGTGTATTTGTATTATGTGTATTTTGTAACATTAACAAAACGGTATTTGCATACGAATTTTATATTTAATTTGGAAATTTATTTGTGAACATGATATATATACATATATATATCATATCAGAAAAGAATTTCATACAAAGGAAATATTTTCAACCTATTACAATAGGTTTTTTCATAAAATTGTTCACTCGTATACAAAAATTAATAGAATTATAATCCAATAGATTCCAACCTATGGATTGCAATTTTTAATCAATTAAAATTAGTTATTGCACGACGATAAAATCGTTGTATAAAACGATGAAAATGATAATTAAAAACCACTTGCCTAATGGTTTTAACATCGAGGAAACAATAAATAAAATTCAAACGGACGATTTTTCTTTCCTTCTTGTTTCTCGACTTTTCTAAAAAAAAAAGGTAGCCACGATGAAACTTCGCTTAAGTTATATCTCGGTGGTTCGCGTGACCGACACAGAGGAATTAGTTTCTCATTTCCCTATGAAAGATGGAGAAGGGTCGCAAATATATAATACACAGAGAGATGTCTTCTCCCTCAGTTCGATCTTCGAAACAGAGTGCTTACAGTAGTGTGTATAGACGAGACGCGTCTTCAGTCGAGAAGTTTAGCCGTAATTGAATTTCTCGGGCCAGTGCCTACCACCGCTGGGGGATTCACGACTGGTTGGCTGGTTGGTTTGTTGGTTGGTTCGATGGTTTCCTGTATTCTTGCTAGGTCGAAGATTCTGAAGTTGGGGGTTCATGCACTCTCGCTCTCTTCCTCATAGGTTCTCGAGAGGGTCTCGACGATGATACGGTATTGTACATGTTTTAGACAAGATTCTCAAGATATTGCTTGTGTTCTAGGATCGTTAATAATCGATGATTGTGATCAATAACTTTTTTTTAATCTTTGATTTTTATAGGATAACGATTAATTACAAGAGTCTTTTTATTAATTTGATCGTATTTATATGTTCATGTTTAATTGAATTTAAACAGAAATTTGGTGTTAGATGAGCTTGTGTTAATTTCTACTTATATAATTTTGATCGCATGCGAATGCGATTTTAAAAGAAAATAAACCAAATTCCAAGTATCATCACCTGATCACCTGATTTTATTCGACATAAACGTGTAAATAAAAGTACACGAGATTTTCAGAAAAACGAGTTATAACTTGTAAACGTCTTAATTCATTAATGTTAAGTAATTAAATTAGTAAAGGAATTCAATTAGGCATATTTATTTTCGATTGAAGATATACATATCTAAATTCACAATTTCACAAGTCGATACTTACTCCGTATCCAAAAGTCGACGTTAGATAGATAAGGGTGCACGTCCATAAAGCGGGCAAGCGGTGATTATACTCTGAAAAGGAGAAGACGACGTAGATTTAGGTCTTTCCAACAGGACTCCTCGAATATCGTTCCGTATGATACCGCTTTGTACCGTGCCTCGTACACACGCGAATGGAAGAACGTCTCTTTTGTGTGTACGCGCGCGGTACTCCCTTTATCCCCGAAGGATCACTTGGTCTCTCCTTCGTCTAAACCCCGGGGACCATTATCCAGCCAGTTTCTCACAGTAGAAGCTTCTTCGAGTGTCCAAGAAACTTTGTGAAAGACCAGTTCGCTTCCGTTCTTCCTCTTTCGTGGCCTGTAGAGGACACCAGGAAATTATTTCACTCGACCGTGCACATTCGCCTTCGGCTTCTCCCTCCAACAATTCTCTTTACTCCGTTTCAGACGTGATATCGCGTTGAACGATCGATTCGTGAAGTCTCGAGCGGGGGCGACACCGGGAGGAAACTCTTTCGAGTTTTCTTTTTTTTCGTGTCGTCCTCCTTTGATCGAATCATCGTTTGTTTTATCGAGGAAAATAGTGGATGGATTTGTTATTTGTAATTAGAGTCCCTGGTAAATTTTTCTTTTAAATTTAACATTTCTTGAAATGAGTAGCGATAACGAATAAATACTATTTTAATTTTTCTTTTGTAAAGAAAAAAAAAAGGAAAAAAGAAAAAAAAACGCTTAATAAACACACTCCGTTTATCACGAGTTTGTAAAAGATAATTTTCCTTATTTCCAACTACTTTGTCTCGACTATTTTAATTTTCAACCGATCATTCTTACTGATTATTCGCGGCACGTAGCACGTGTCAACATCCAACTTGTAATCAATTTCGAATGAATTCGTTAAAATGTTTGACGAAAAAATTGCCAGTGTTGAAAACTCGATGTATGTAATCCGCTATCTCTAACAAACACGATACGAGAGGGTCGCGATATAGGTATCTACAGCGAGTCGAGGTACGATATTTGCAATCGGTACAGGGATCCATGGGCAAGGAGTTTGTCCACTCGTGGAAGGGCATCGCTAACGTGGCACGAATATTACGAAGACTCGTCGCCAAGAAAGAGATAAAAGCCAAAGAGAGTATAGGATACGGCTACTTACGTTCCAGCGACGTGCCTGGTAACATTGTTTGCAAAGAGTCAGCACGGCTTCGCAGAACAGAAGAGCCCAATCACGGACTATGTATTCCTACCTATTTGCATAGGTGTAGCCGGTCCTACGAATGCATGTACACGTGCAATGCCGCCGTGGAAGCACGTTCCCGAGTGTGTTTGAACAAAATTCCTGCCAACGTCCTTCTTTCTATCCATCACACGATGTTGGCTTGTGACCCGTCCAGGATCCATGCTCTCGATCACGATGGATTTTCTTGGAAATCCTCGCCTTCCTACATGATTTCTCACACTTTGACGATTTTGGTATAAATGTCCGTCAAAAGATATATGATCAATTGTATCCCAAGAAAAAAATGTTTCACGTTTTACATCAAAAGCAAAATATAAATTTCTTTATTTATTATATAATTTCTAAATATTATTCACGTGTATTGGTATTAGCTTTGAATCGTGAACTTGTAATAAATACAAAGAAACAGAACGTTTTTCTGTTAGATTTAGGTTAAGTTGGGCTGACTTTTAATTGCATTTTACGATGATAATTAATTGTTGCACTAGTAAAAAAAAGTATTCTCTTTTTCTTCATTTTGCTACATCGTGATTAAATTCATTTATCTTAAGAAAGTAATCTTCCACCGAGTAAAAAACACTTTTGTCTCGCCATATTTTCATGACGATTTAATCTCGCGTCGTTCAAGATTCACGTTGGTTTTTCACTCGGAAAGAACGCGGATCGACGATGAAAGGATCGCGATAAGCGATACCTTCCGACTTAATTAAAAAGAGCACGGCTCGCGTAACTGTTCTGCAGATGTAACAAAAGGAAGAAGAAGCCCTTTCGATGGTGAAGTACACGTTTGATTAACCATCGCCCCTTCCATGCTCTCTCTCTCTCTCTTTCCTTGCTTCTTTTTCATCGTTGAGAGGGAGAGGAAAAAACGTAGAATAAGGTTAGGTGGTTGAACGAAGGCTTCCGAATAACATTTTTAAATTGAAAAAGCGAAAAGTGATCCAACGACTGGTGGTTTAGTTGGAGGAAACCATCGAAAATGAATATAAAACACTTTGATTCCGTTTCTTGGCTCGGTTCCTCTTTTGTTACCATTCTCTCACCTCTTTTCCTTAGCATAGGCCCGTTATATATTTCCAATGGAAAATAGAACCTGTGATGCAAAGATCACAAAGGTGTAAGCGAGTTCGTTATTTTTCATTGTAAATATATTAGCAACACGATAATATGAGTTAATAAAATGGAAGAAAAGAATTGTACGATTGGCATGATTTCTGATCGGAAGTTGTTTAT